TTGGTTTTGCTGTTTAAACATTCATTGTTATAGAAATGACTAGTATATATTACTGTGTAAAAGTAAAAACTTCAGGCTGATGTTGTCTTCTACTATGCTAAAAACAGCTGGAGGTCAAAACCTTCTTTTCTTTCCTCCCCCCCCCTCCACACTACACTCTCTCCTCTTCCATTTTTTCCTCTCCCAGTTTTCCATTATTTTCATTTTCCTTTATATTTTGTATTCTGATGAACTAATAAAAATTTTGAACCATGTACAAGGACAATATTTTCAAGCAGATTATCAACCATTAAATGTTTTATTTTATTTTTTCAATTTTCAAATGGCTGACCTATGTAAGAGGGAACTATTCTCATATCAAATCAAATCTTTATTACAGAAATAGGCCAACATAATTGTTCTTTATTTCCTTGAAGGACAGAAAATGCAAATATTCTTCAGAGAAGATATCAGAAAGATTGATATCAATCCAAAGCAACTTCTAAATTGTGTAATTTAAGGAATCAGAAAAAAAATATGTTAATAATTAAAGATTATTCCACAAGAGATGTAATGCACGCTTGCATATTAACACTCATCACTAATTTGAACAACAATCTACAACTCACCCATCCATACAACTTATTAGTACTACTTACAAGTCTGCTCCAAGAACTTACATTGATATTGCTATTCAACATAGTCTCAAAGTCCTCTGGCAAAATTTTTGGAACTTGGTTAACAAGATCCATCAGGAAGCGTCCAACAGTGTTATCAGCAGCCACTTTTCCAGACTAGACAAAAAGAACAGAGATACTATTTTTTAAATATTTTGATATATTATACATCAACAGAAAAATGAATACACACACACACAGTCTTGTTTCCTTTAATGCACAGCACATTTACCAGCACATCTTCTGCATACTGTAGTACAGTGCTCAGGGTATCCTGAATCTGAACAGAAGCTGCCCCCACTTGCTGAAGATCACTTGACAAATTAATCACTCGATTTGGGCTAAAGCAAGTCTTCATGATGAGATCAACTGAGAACAGAGAGTAGACATGAGTCTGTTAAACACAGTTATGGTCACAAATACTACAGTAATAATTCAGATAAGTAAACCATTAACTTTCTAATTACTGTAAAATAATCCACCCTTCAATGGCAACTCAGCTATTTTTATACTAGGCACTGCACTCTAAAAAGGACATTGATAAACAAAGATGACAAAAGGACTGAACACTGGATCTATAAAAGAACTGGATACGCCGAACCTGGAACAAAGAAAACTGAGGGGAGCCTTGCTACTTATCCTCACTATCACTGCCAAATGTTTTTTATCATAGGCATAGTGTGCCCTCACTAGAAAGGTATTGACAATGACGCTTAGACATTTTGACCTCCATGGTGTTGATAGGAACCTTTAACAATATCTCCAAGCAAGACTGTTTATGCAAATGCTGAAATGGAGACAGCTGTACATGTACTTCTTAAATGCCCTATTAATCATTCTCAGAAGGCAGAGCTAATCCTTCTTCTAATTGTAAATTATTCAGGCTGGTCTCAATGGGCAATTGTGTACATCCTATTAAATGACCAGGACTGTCATCTGAAAAATGGGAAAAATTCTGTGCTGTAGTAATAATTTGTTACCTAATAGAGTTTGTATGCTCTATTTCTATTTCAAACAGAACTTTTATACTAGATTTGTACTTGTATACATTCTAATTTTGGTTGTTTTGGTCTATGTCTCTAGATAAACTAAAACAATATAATACTGTGGATGCTCTAAGGTAGCTCATTATAGGAATATGCAAAATTCAATCATTTGAAAATGTTCATGTTATTTCCCTCTTCAAAATGCTATATAGTAGTGCTGAAAACAAAATCAGCTTGTAGTTTTTCCAGAAGAGGGGGAAACAGACAATGATAAAGAGCTGTGACAGAGAAACAGTGATGGCTGGCTTCACTTTCATGTCATTCATTGTGTTATCCAGCCAGATAAGGCCACACCTGCTTAAAATAGATTTGTTAATTATTATGTTTGTGGTTTGCACTCATGTGACTTGCTAAGCCAAACAATTTCCAGTTGGAAATAACTGAATATACATTTTAGTAGAATAAATTGATATTTAATAAATATATAAAGGATTAAAGGATAAGCACATGATATTTCTGTCAGTAACATTATTTCTTATTTCTTCTCCTCTGGGATGAAGATGCAGCTTTAGCCTCTCTAAGCTTTATTTCAAAGCACTGACATTTAACTTTATTGTACAGAACGTATAACCAATCACAGAAAACCAGTCTTATCACTATGTCTAGCCCAGTGATGGAAAACCTATGACACCCATTTTTGGTGACATTTTTGGTGACACGCCAAGCCTTTGGAAGTTGTACAAAGAGACCTTGCTTTCACAAAGTCTCTGGGGGTGGGTGGGGATTGGGGATTTCCTAAAAGTTGTGCATTCTCAAGCAATTTTTCTGATGCTTCAGAAACTCCAAAAGAGCAGGCCTCTTATGCGACTTCCAGAGGGTGTAGAGAGTGAAGCTGAGAGGAGGTCCACAAAAGGCCATTTTGTCTGACGGTAGGGTTATATATGACACCCCAGCAGAATCAAAGTAGGCATATTTTGAATTTTTCACACTCTGAATCCAAAAGGTTTGCCATCACAGTCTAACCACTCACTAGGTTTCACTTCTTGGCTATGCATTATATCCATCAATAATATAATGCTTACCTCCTATCCGCTCTGTTTCATAGTAGGCATACTTCACAGTGAGAGGAGTAAACATTACCCCCATAGTCTTACCAGGAACTCCCATTGTAGTGCTAAAAGAGAGACAATTTTTCTTAGCAGGTATATTCCAAATAAAATTTGATACATAAGAGTTGCTTTCAACTGTTATTAGAACACTGATTCTGAAAAACACACACTTATCTCAACTTATTTTTTAAATGTTATTTTTGCAATTTGATATCCATCTAAGCTGTTCTGCTGTAATGTTAAAAAATAGTATGGAATAAGGTTCACACCTTTCTTTTATGGACTATAAAACTTTATTTTTTTACCTTTGTTTCATTCAAGCAAAATGCAGATGAATTGTTTTTGCAAGTACCTGATATATGCCTTAATGCTCATACGTCCATTTTGTAAACTGGTGTCCACAGTTAAGTGAATTGGATTGTGAGCTTCCCGACTGTAATATTCATGGATTAAAACAGAGTGTTCTGTGATGTCATGTCCAGTTGCATACCTGCAAAAATATAAAGAGTTTAAGACAATATTTGCACAAAGTGAATGCATTAATTTAATACAGGACATTTAAAGGGACACGGTGACACTGAGCTTGTCGATCAGAAAGGTTTGCAGTTCAGCAGTTCGAATCCCTAGTGCCACGTAANGGTGGTAGGGGTTTGCTGTAACTTTGCTTTATAAATTTTATAAAGTAAAGTTACTTCCCTACTTTATAAATCACCATCACTGTGGAACCGGTGGGCGGTTACAAAATTTTACTACTAACAGAGATACAAAAGTGGGCGGTAGGTATAAAAAGGTTGACTAGCCCTGATCTGGATGATGGAGAATCTCCATAGACATTTGCTGAAGACTGTATTTCCTGGAACAGCTGGTAATCAAATTCCTGGGAGTGAGGAAATTTTGCTCAAAAATTTCCCAGAGGGAATAGGGCATGTATAAGGGCGTTTCCATGCATCTACAGATCTATTTTATTTATTTATGAAATTTATTTGCCACCCATCTAGTAGCCAATGTCTCCATGGAAAAAACCTACTCTATTTGTTTGTAAACAAGGCTAACCTCTGTCTTAGAGCAGCTACGCATTTTAAGGAAGCAGAAACGAGCACACCGACAACGAAGAGAATGACTTCAGGCAATTGCTGCCAGCACCATAGGCCAAAAATTAAGGAGAAAGATTAAACACAAAGAGAAGATTTTCCTGACGAGTACTTCAAATTAGCGTGCTATCATTAATTTTGCTCATTATGCCACGAGCCGCTAGAGAAAGAAAAGCGTCAAAACTCAAAAGAGTAGCAAAAAAGGCCTCCAATCGTTTTCACTGCAGTGCTGACTTGTACACAATTTCCGGCGCTTTTATTCCACATTTTCGGTTCATGAATGACCTATATTCACAATAAGAAAGTTTGCGTAATGATCTGAAGGGAAAGGGGAGGGGAGCATCAAATGGAAATAGAGAGCGGAGTTGGTGGACTGGTTAACAGCAGGAGACGCCAGACCCCTCTCATTGGGACATCCCCCCCCCCACAAAATAAAGCAGCATTAAAAGGGGGGAAAGGCAAAGGTCCAGAAAACTAGAGGAAGGCATCCGCCCTGTGAGAGGAGCCTGGAAAAGGAGGGGGAAAGGGACTGTCTCGGCCGCCTCAGACGGAGCACTTCCCGGCTGCCCCCCCCCCCCTGCACTCGCCTGGAATGTGGCTAAGAAACTCGGCGTCCCCTCCGACCACCGACGCTCAGAACGAAGAGCAAAATGGAGACGGGGAGAGGCGAGCCTGTTCCGCCCCTTTCCTGATCTGTTTTCGCCCCGCCTGCCCCGCCGGCCTTCCGCCTTCTCTGGGCAACGGGAGTCTCCGGAAGGGCGAACTTCGCCATCGGCTGCGCATCCCTGTCCGTCCTCGCCCCGACACCGAACCCGACTACCGTGTGGAGAGACCGGCTGCGCCTCAACGATGCCCGCCGCCACTCGTCGGACACAAATACTTGAGCGTTAAGTCTTCATCGCTCCCTTCGGAGGAGCGTAGCGCTGCCGCAAAGCCTCTTTCGGAGGGCGGGCGGGGAAGGCAGGTGCTGGATCGGGAGTCAACCCTATGATTTAGGCCATACTTCCCACATTCAGGAAACGGGGCGCTTGTCTGGTCAAACGAAGGATGCGTAACTGCCAGCCCGCAATTTTACTTGTTAGATGGAAAGTTAAGTTTTGCTTTAATAAAAGTTTCTATTAAATAAAAGTTTCTATTAAATCGAGGAAACAGTTCAAACTTGGGAACTTTAAGACTTGTGGACTTCAACTCCCAGAATTCCCCAGGCAGCATGGGGAATTCTGGCTGGCTGGGAAATTTTGGGAGTTGAAGTTCACAAGTCTTAAAAGTTTCCACGTTTGGACACCCCAATCCATCTGAATGTTTTTTACAAGGGAGCCAGGGGAAAATCCACTGAGATTAGAGCGCACTTGGCTACACGTAATAAACCATCACGATAGATCTGCTATTTTTTGCTGTGCCAACCCAGGTCTGATTCGGAGGTTCAGGAAGTCCTCCGTTTACAACCAAAATTTATGTGGCTGAGTTAAGTTTTGCCTCATTTTATAATCTTTCTTGCCAGCTATTAAGTGAATCGGGAGTCAACCCTATGATTTAGGCCATACTTCCCACATTCCGGAAACGGGGCGCTTGTCTGGTCAAACGAAGTTATTAAATGGATCTGGCTTCCCCAATAATCTTTTGTGAGCTTCTGACAAGCAGTTATCACAAGACACCCCCCCCCAGGACACTGCAACCTTCATGAGTCAGTTGCAAGCATCTGAATTTTG